GTCACCGGACAATTTCTTTATATGCAAATCACACTATTCAAATTATGTATAACACACAAAACCTGGAGATGTTAGAATTTGAACACGAGTCCATCTACAAGTCACCGGACAATTTCTTTATATATATATATTAATATAAAAAGAAGATGCAACAAAAGAAAAAAAAAATTGCAAGGTTGGTGCTTTTAGTAAAAAACACAATTCATTAAAAAATATATTTTAAAAAAAACTTAATATATTAAACACAATTTTTTTTATATTATTTATACAATTCTCTATACTATATATAAAAAAATATTTTTTAAACTATTTCATTAAACACACAAATCTAAATTTATTTTTTGTGATTTCCAAGTTTAAAAAATAATTTGATTAGTACTATAGATCATATTTTTATAGTTTTTTTATCTGATCTATGTAGAATTTGATATACTTTGTATTAAAAATTTTGACCGGATTGATCCAAGAGTCCCTCCATAATACAATAGACCCATTTCATCAAATCCTCTATTCCTATTTTTCTCTTTTCACTTTACTCTAACCAATAAAATATTTCCATGTTAGAGATAATGTTAATACAATTTATATATTTTCTAACTATATTATTGATCAGTTTTTTTTTTCCAAAAAAAGCTCTTAAATTAAGGGGGTGTATTCAATTGAGATTTTAATTAATTTTTTTAGATTTTAAAAAGTCTATGAATTTATGTGGATTTAGAAAATCCACATAATCTATGTTGAGTTTAGTAATTGATTTAGATGGATTTCTACGGATTTGATTGAATTCTTTATGGATTTATATGGATTTTGTAGGATTGTGAAATAATTTTTTATGAATATAAATATTAATTATATAAATTTATACTTCCTCCGTCCAAGCTAAAAGTATACATTTACTTCTGGCGCGGAGATTAAAGAATAATAGTATTTTAATTATAGTGTGTAGGTAAAAATAGTGAAATGACATTTTTGCCTTTACTTTTTTTGTATAAAAGTAATGATTTGATGTAAAGTAGGGGTATTTGTGGAAAAAATAGGGTATTTAATGAAAGAGTTACTTTGTAATTAGACGTCCCAAAATAGAAATATGTATGTTTTCTAACTGGACGGAGGGAATATCAATCAACAAATTTTACAAATATAATAAATAATTATTAATAAAATAATATTTAATATTAATAAATAAATATAAGTATTAATAATGTAGAAGTATTGTAACATCCGTAATACTACTATATTCTAGATTATTAATTTCAATTTTACAATTTTAGTATTATATTATCATTCAATATATCAAATTAATTTTATATTTCTTTATTAGTTATTATTGTCATTTATATAATATTTTTAGATAAAAAATAAATACGTATATAAATAAAATAAAAAATATAATTTATGATTTTTTTAAAAAATATTAAAATAAATAAATAAATATAAATTAGCGGTTCAACAAAAAATCGTTATCGTAATGATAATATAGCGTATTCGATAATTGAAAAGAAAAGATGACAGTAATACATATTTATTGTGATAAGAATATTTTTTAAAATTATATTTATAATATGACAATATATATTTAAAAAAAAATTCATAATAATTTGCTAATATATTTTAGTTTTAAATTATTATTTTGATTAAAGATTATAATGATAATAATAAATATTATTATATTATTGATCATATATACAACAACAACAACAATAATAATAATAATAATAAGGCAAAATTGCCCATAACTTCCTTGTGGTTTCGAAACTCAGCATAAATTCCTCCTCTACTTTAAAAATTGCATGACGTTCCCTTATACTTTAAAAAATGTTGCATGAAACCACTTTGTGGTTTCGATACTCAGCATAAATTCCCATTTTACTTTAAAAAATTGCATGACGCTCACTTATACTTTAAAAAATATTGCATAAAACCTTCCTACCATGCAAAACATATGAATAGGAAATCATCTTCTTATCACACGAGGAAAGTTTCATGGTGGTGGGGTTTCATGCAACGTTTTCTAAAGTATAAGGTGTACCATGCAATTTTTAAAGTACATGGAGATTTTACTCTGAATTTCGAAACCACTGAGTTATAAGCAATTTTACCTAATAATAATAATAATAATTTTAAGAATCCATAAAAAATCTGTAATGATAAGGAGAGATTCTTTCCTATACAAAATCTTCACAATTTTCCATTAAAATCCATAGACTTTCAAAAGTCAAAAGTCTGGATTAAATACTCTGGATTTTAAAAGATTTTTAAAAGTCTTCATCGAATACATCCAAATTTTAAAAATTCAACAAAATCTTATAAAATCTATATAGAAATTTGTATTAATAATAAACATAAAAATTTAATTTGAATATAATTAATTTTTTTTAAAAAAAATTAATAAGTAATAAAAATATAATTTTTAAAATATATAAATTTTAAATCATATTCATATATATTCTTTCTTAATTTTCTCTCTCTTATTTCAATGTGTCATAATTTTATTTGTTGAAATAAAGAGAATAAGAGAATTTGGGAATAGAAGATTTATGTGTCATAATTTTTTCAACACGGATCAGGTACTAATTGAATTTATTCAGCACTTGTGCTGACAAATTAAAATATAATTATACTAATTTTTATAATTAAATTATACAATTAATATAATTAAATAGGACAGATTTTTATGCATCAGCACTGGCGCTCAATTTGTTCAGCCGCCTGATCCGTGGGCTAATTTTTTATATATATTCATATATACTCTTTATTCATTTATTGTTTTTTAATGTTTTAGTACAATTTTGTTTTTATATATTTTGCAAATATTGGTTCTCCTGGTAGTTTTTATTTTTATATTTTTATTTATTTTTTTATTTAATGGCCACTTTTAACTATTCAAATAGCATATCATATATTGTGGCGGTTCTATGAAACGTATTAGGATTAAGGGTTTGTTTCTTTTAGTCACAAAATCTCAAAGTTTCTACTATTTTAATTTTGTATTTTTCGAAAATAATATATTTTTTTTTTCTCACAAAACATCCCAATCATACATTATTTTAATAACAAATTCAAATCAAAACTTTTTCATGCCTATAAAAAAAAACATACCAAGTACTATTATGATTATACAATAAATAAATAAATAAATATATATATATATGTATATATATAGTGCTTTTATATTTATCAAAGAAGACTAGCAAAAGAAGAAGACTATGAGTTTACTATTTGTTTCTTTCAAAAGTTTAAAAAATAATTTGATGTTAATTTTTTAGGGATTCAAATCTCTGTATGTTGGATCACTTTATTTTGGAGAAGATATTCAATTATGATGAATGTTAAAAATTAAGAAATTTTCGGATTTTAATTTCTATATTTTATTATATACAAATAATTTGATACGATATAATTTTATTTATATTTTGAAGATATTGTGAAGTCTATTTGTTATGCATATAATTTTTCTTTTACTTGTAAGTAATTTATTTTTTATGTTTTAATACAATTTTTATTTTTTCTATAATTTATTTTGGATATAATTTGTTTTACTGATAACTAATTTATTTTTTATATTTTGATACAATTTTATTTTTTTAATATATATATTTTTTTTATGACGTGGGAATTCGCAACCGTTATTCGAAAGTATGCACGAGGTAAACTCCCGGTCGAACCTAATACCTGAAAATTATGTATGTTCTTTTCACAAATATATATATATACACACACGATTTTAAAATATTAATATATTATACATATCCATTATTTTATATTTTTTAACACAATTTTTCATAAAAAAAAAATATGCATTCAAATTATCTCACAAAACAACACACCTTGTTATTTTTATTTGTTCTCCAGATAATTTTTCTAAAGGTAACTAAGGTTGCGTTCTTTTGTGGATTTTACCACAAATTTTTACTTTTCAAATTATTTTTTTCCTAAAAAAATATCAAATCAAACATTTTTTTTTATATTATACTACAGATCTATTTTATATTAAAAACATTACATCAACCTCCAAATTCAACTTTTATTATTAAAAAATCCAAACCCAAAATTTCATAAAAATTGTAGGCAAAATTGTCCATAACTCCCTTTTGGTTTCGAAACTCAGCGTAAATTCCCCCTCTACTTTAAAAATTGCATAACGTCCCTTTATCCTTTAAAAAATGTTGCATGAAACCACTTTGTAGTTTTGAAACTCAGCATAAATCCCCATTTTATTTTAAAAAATTGCATGACGCTCACTTATACTTTCAAAAATATTGCATAAAACCCCCCTGCCATGCAAAACATATAGATAGGAAATCATCTTCTTATTACACGAGGAAAGTTTCATGGTGGTGGGGTTTCATGCAACGTTTTTAAAAGTATAAGGGGGTACAATGCAATTTTTAAAATATAGGGAGATTTTACGCTGAATTTCGAAACTACAGGAGAGTTATAAGCAATTTTACCAAAATTGTATTATTGACAAAAAAAAGAGTTCCAATGTCATATATATATATATATACGCATATATGTGGGCTCCAAATGATACTAACACCCCCTTCAAACTCAAGGTCGTAAAGTAGAAACCAACTTGAGTTTGTTCAACAATGTGGAGAATCAGTCTGGGAAGAGGGACTTGTTGAAAATACTCGCAGTCTAATCCTCGGAAGAGACATGAGATAGATGAACAGTACCTGCATGAACATGCTGACGAACAAAGTGACAATTAATCTCAATATGCTTGGTGCGCTCGTGAAAGACATCATTATGGGAGATCTGGATTGCGCTCGTGCTATCTCAATAGAGAAAAGTGGAAGAAGACTGAGGAACCCCGAGATCATAAAGAAGCCAATAAAGCCAAATGAGCTCTAAAGTCGAATACGCAAGAGCACGATACTCAGACTCTGTATTGGAGCAAAAAACGAGAGTCTGTTTCTTGCTACGCCAAGAAACAAGGGAACTTCCCATGAAAAAACTATAATCTATGATGGAGCGACAATAGTCGGATCACCTTCTCAATCAGCATCAGAGAAACTAACAAGAACCAATGAAGAGTCAGCAGAAAAGTGAAGACCATGTAGAAGTATTCCCTTAACGTAACAAAGGATGTGCAACACAACAGCATAGTGAATTGTCTGGGGATTAGTCATGAACTGACTAACAATATGGACCACATGAGCTATGTCAGAATAACCGTCAAGTAGATCAGGGATCCCACCAGCTGCCGATAGCGGGAGGGATTCTCTAGTGGAGTGCCGTCAAAAGGATCAAGTCGGTAGTTTACCTCGAGAGGGATGGGTGCAATCTGACTATCAGTCAGACCTGAACAAGATATGGGATCAGAGGAATATTTCGCCTGAGATAGATATATGCTATGTGGAGCGTCAGAAATCTCAAATCCGAAAAAATAGCGGAACTGACCAAGACTCTTCATGTTGAAGTGTCGATGGAGGTAAATCTATAGGGCTGATATACCATAAGTGTCGTCGCCGGTAATAACCATGTCATTCACATACAATAAGAGAATGATGATCCTCGTAGGAGAACGACGAATAAAGAGAGCAGAGTCATAAGAAGATGCAAAAAAGTCATGCTGAAGAAGCGCAACACTAAACTTAGCGAATCAAGCTTGGGGCGCTTGCTTGAGTCCATAAAGCGCAAGGCGCAACTTACATACCTTCCCTAAAAAATCGGAACCACGTGGAAAAGTCATGTAGACTTCTTCAGTCAAATCTCCATGAAAAAACACATTCTTCACATCCAACTGTAATAACTGCCATCGTCAAACAACGACAACAACAAGAAGACAATTGGTAGATGTCAAGCGAGCAATGGGAGCAAATGTCTCATCATAATCAATACCAATCCCTGGCGCGCTCAACAGAACCATCGGAGGGAGTGTTGATCTTGTACCCACTTGCAGCTAATAGGTTTCTTGCCAGGAGGGACATCGACGATATTCCACATGTCTGTCTTCTCAAGAGCCTACAATTCCTCATACATAGCGGCGCCACAGGAGATCATAGTTTGCCTCACGAAAGGTCCTGGGTTCATGTATATGCGAGCAAGACTATGCAATAGTATGATTTAATCATAGAAAGTAACCATAAAATCTACAACAAATATGGCAATAATACAAACTATGCTTGTATATGCATAAAAGGTGTGTTTGTTTGGGGGTTTGGATTTTGAGTTGGGATTTAAATAGTAAAAAAATTGAATTGAAATAATTGTATGATGTGATATAAATAGGTGTTGATGTGATATTTTGAATGTAAAATTAATTTTTAGTATAATATAAAAAATTAAAAATAGATATTTGATTTGATATTTTTGGGAGAAATTTTTTCGATGAATAGTGAAATTTTGAACAAATACTCCAAACATTTAATGGAAATATATTCAAAGCACGTAACTTAAAAACTGAAGATAAATAAATGAAAGCATAGAAATTCAATAAATCCAGAGTGTCAATGAAAGACTTCTTCTTCTACTACTTATTCCCTACGTTTATATAAAATAGGAATAATTAAGATCGAACAACAATTTGCATTAGTCATCAAATCTAGCAACACAACTGCCAGCCAAAGCTAGTGTGATTAGTTCTATGTTTCTCTCCTACAAGTTTTGTAAGCACTCTTATGGTTCCAATCGAGTTAAAAACTTCAATTTCGACAAAGTCTTTTAACTCTTATGGTTCCAATATAAAGAGTAACCTACCATTTCTTATTTTCATATATTCAACAACTCTATGGCTCCAATGCCATCAAATGTTTCGGATATAGTTGCACATATACATATATATATATATTATATCCAACACTAATCAAACATTAATGAAGAAAATCAATAATCACTATGCATAAAAAGCCTACATATACAGCCATATTCTTAACATAACTATTACTACTAAAATACAAAAATATGTAGAAAACAAATAAGAATCTTGAACGACGATATGAGTGTGTCTGAATGTAAATGTGCAGAGATACTTGCCACAATGATATGTCCTGCTTGTTAGTGCTGCCCAGCTCCATTTGAAACTCAAGACTTCCCACAATCTACGTCGCCTTAATTGTCCTGCCATATATTAGTGAAATAAGGTTGTCACTACTTGCAAGAATAATTTTGTCATAAGATGGATAAGTAGTATCAAACTATCAATTAATGCATATATCATGAACCACTGCATCATCCTGTTTCTGATGATGAGTTTTTAATCTAATAATTAGTTTGTTTTCAATACCATCAAATGCTTGGATAAGAACACCAATCAAAACATCAATGATGAATATCAGTAATCAGTATTACTGTTAAAAACACAAAAATATGCACAAAACATGAATCTGGAACAACAAAAATTTCTGACTAATCGTCCATCATTGAACGATACCAGTACTACCCGATAGTAATGTCCAGTATCAAAATTGAATACTTAATGAACGCTACCTGAATAATGAACCGGTATCCATACACCATACACCCGAATACCAACTTCTTGCAACACAGCAAACTGACTACATTTTTACTTTCTTGTAGATATCTTTTGCTGTCATGAATTCATAAAAATGTGCAGACTCCAGTTAGCTTTGCAATGAACTCACATCACATGCTACTACCATTAGTCCTGTCATGTTATATGCAGTTTCCCCAACTACCTATGTCCCTTGCTCCTCTATTTCTGGTGTTATCTTAAATGAATTTGTACTCAAACCAACCCAGTGATGGTAAACCCAACGCTCCGAGGCCCTAATTCATCAAAGGGTTGAAATTTATACACACACATATCATATGTAACCACATATACGACTTCTTGTATCACACTAGGGGTAAAAGAAGACCGAAAATAAAAAGGAAAAAAGACATCCCTTTTAACCCTAAGACCCAACACCCAAAATAAGATGAAAAGAAGGAAACAAGCAAAACCCAAAATACAAAATATGTGTATAAGATGAAAAGAAGAAAACAAGCAAAAGTAAGGGTGTCTGTCAGACAGCTGCAGGACCATCCGGACCTGACCGAAGCCGAGCCAAGAACGATCCTCTGCGAGTCCAATGGCACAGCCAAGCCGAGCCACGGGACCAGCTAATCACGCTCTAGTCGAGCAGCCATGGTTCATCCACCAGACATGGTTTCTTGCCTCCTTAGAACTCAAGGATGCAGAGATACGAGCCTATAGAATAGATCCTGTTCAAATAAGGTCGTGCCTTCTTGGTTATTTGTATTGCCTTCTAGTTATATGTTCCCGATGTGGGACTTTTATTATTATCGTTGGATAGTCTATCTGGAATGTACACTATTGATTAATTATCTAAAAATCAATATAATTAAATTAAAATCAATAAAATTTTCTACATAATATTATAATCTATATACTTAAAAAAATCATTTAAATTATATTATTTAAAAAAATTGCAAAAAATAAAATAAAACTAACAAAAAATTAAAGATCCGAATATTTTTTACCCCTATATGTAAAATCAAACTATGATTATAAATACATAAAGTGCAAATTAATGCAAAACACATAGCTTTTTTTTTTTTTTTAAAAAGGCAATAAATGAAATATAGAAATTCTATGTATACTGTATTGAAATATTTATTATTATTATTATATCGTATTATTAAGTAACTCTAATAATATATAAATATTTTTATATGATATTATATTAATAATTAAAAATATATTTACATAATATGATAGTAATAATATCTCAATATACATATACAGAATGTCAATGCTGAGACTTTCTTCTTTCTACTTCTTCCACCCTAGGTGTATTAAAAGAGATAATATCCAAAAGCAATTCACATTACTCATCCAATCTAGCAGCAAAAATTGTAGCCAAAGCTGGTGTGATTAGTTCTATGATGGTAACACTTATTCTTGTTGCCTTTGGTCTCTCGCCTACTTTCCCATACGGTGAAGCTAACAGAACGACCACTGATGTTCAAGGTAAACTCTGTTTGGAATTCATAAAAGTTTGTCCTATTTCTAATCGATTCAGTTATATATTCGTGGTGAGATAAAATGACAGAAAAACAATGATAATCAAATAGATGAGAAGGAGAACAACTTATACAAGTCGATCGCCCATCAGTGGCAGCAGGAACTGGAACTTCCGGAGGATTGGGCACACGCACAGGTGGGTCAACTAGTGGGGAAGGATCAGCATCAGACAGACCAATAGGAACAGACGGGGGGTTTGAGACTTGCAGGAGGAAGAGAGGAATCCAAAACAAAGAACGTGGACTCTGACTCAAAGGGAATGGAAAATTTAGATTTAAGAGGAAAAGAACTAATGCTCCTAAAAGGTAACATCCCGAGAGATACGTAGACGATTCGAGATGGGATCCCAACATCGATAACCTTTATGTTATACCCTATACCCTAGAAAACAACACATACGGGTGCGTGGTTCTAATTTATTTCTCTCAAGAAGAGAAAGGTAAACAAAATTGACATAACCAAAAAGATGAAAATGAGAGTAATAAGGTACCTGGCGGAAGAGCCTCTCAAAATGCGTGGGATCCTGAATGACAGGGGATGATAAATGGTTAATATTATAAACAACAGTAAGAGCAGCCTCACCCCAAAACCGATCTAGACAATTGACAGATAACAACATGGCTTGAACTGTGTCTAAAATATAACGATGTTTACGCTCTGCCCTACCATTTTGTTAAGATGTGTAGGGACATGAATGCTGGACAAGAGTACCCTGGGTGAACAGAAAACTAAGAAGAAAAAAAATCATTTTATTCAAGGGCATTGTCAGTGCGAAGAGTCTGAATAGAACACAAGAACTGAGTTTGCACCATTTTAGCGAATGTATAGTAAATAGAGGCGGGTTCAGACCGGTTACGCATAAAGTAAATCCAAGTAAATTGCCCGTAATCATCAATCAAAAGCACAAAGTAACGAATCCAGTAAGAGTAGCAACAGGAGAGGGCCCTCGTATGTGAGAATGTATTAACGAAAAAGGTTTATCATCAATAGACAAGTTGTTCAAAAAAGGTAAAGTTGGTTATTTTTCAAGTTTACAATGCAAACAATCAAAAGACTTAAAATGAACTGAACCTAAAACACCTATATTTGCAAGAGACTTAAGTTTAGATAGAGAGATATGACCAACTCTGAGGTGCCAGTGATAGAAAGAGGAATGTGAGATTGTAGCGGAAATAGATGGTGTATGACGAACGCGAAGATGGTCAAGCTCAAATAGGTTGCTTGTCTTGCGACCTGTCCCAAATATCTGACCTATCTGCGTGTCCTGAAATTGAACACCAGAACAAGAGAAAATTATAGTAAAATCCTACTCAACCAACTGATCGAAAGATGCAAAGTTTAGGGCTAATTTGGGAATGACATAAACATCATCGAGGTGGGGGACGAGATATGGCCAATATGGGTAATGTGCATGGGAATGTCATCAGCGGTAAGTATAGGAGGAGACGAGGTGACAGGTTTGGAGGAATGTAAAAGGCGAGGATCATGTGTCACGTGATTACAACAGACATAATCAACATACCATGTGTTGTTACCTGATATCGAGGCTAAGGAAGGGTGAAATGATCAAAGTTGAGTTAGTATGTGACAGAGGTCCTCAATAGTAGGAGGCGGCTGAGACGACTGTGATATGCTAGTGGTAGCAGCAATGGTAGAAAAAGAGCCGGAAGAGGACTGACTAGCCTTGGAATTCTTGGGACAATGCAAATGTGTGTGGCCCTTCTGACGACAGTAGTGACATTCAACCTTAGGACAGTGGATATAAAGATGATCAGTATTCGCGCAACTGCGACATTTATCAGACTGAGGTGGTCGGGCATCCTTGCGATTATCTCGGCGATGATGAGTAAAAGAAGAAACTGCCTAGGCCGAATCAAGAGTAGGAGCCTTTAGCATCTTGAGATGGGTGTCTCACATTTTGACAATTTTGTATATAGTTCTTTTCTTGAAGCTTCTTCAATACCATTCCCAAGTATCGGAAATGTGCATCAGGATCATTCGAATATATCAAGATTTCATTGATAAACACGACCAAAATTTTATCCAGCCACTACCTAAAAAATATTTGCATTAGATCCATAAACATAGTTGGGGTATTTGTGAGCCCAACCAGCATCATAGTGACTCAAAGTATCCATATCGCATCCAAAAAATCGTCTTTAGGATATCAGTTTCCTTCATACGAATTTGATGATATACTTATCTCAAACCCACCTTCGAAAAAAATCGTACCCCTATCAATTGATCGAAAAAGTCCTTGATCATCGGAATTAGATACTTATTTTTCACTGTCATTTGGTTGATTGCTCGATAGTCAATATAAAGCCTCAAAGACCTATATTTCTTCTGTATGAATAGCATAGGGGCTCCCCATGGTGAGCTACTCGGTTGTATGTATCATTTCTCTAATAGTTCATTGAACTGTTTCTTCAACTTGTTTTTTTTTCAATCAAAGCCATACGACAAAGGACCTTCGATACCGATTGGCTCCCGGTACTACGTTTACCTCAAAATCAATCTCTAAGTCCTGTGAAAATCTCAAAATCTCATGGGGAAAAACATCGAAAAAATCTCAAACTACATGAATGGTTTCCAAGCTCAGTTCCTTAGCTCGTGTGTCACAAACATAACATAAAAAGACTAGATACCCTTTTCGAATTATCGAGAACATCACTGTTGAGATAACCACCTTAGACTTTAATGTCCTCAATTACTTGTAGTACAACATCCTCAATCCATCCATCGTCCTAAGAGTTAGCTTGCCTAAGTGAAAATACCATTGGCTCGATACTTCTCCAACCAATCGATACCCAAGATCAAGTCAAATTCACTTAACTCCAGCACTAACAAGTGAATAGAAAACACTAATTCATTAACTACCACAAACAAAAACGAATCATATATCGCAGATCAGAGAGAAACAGCTTTCGGAGAAAAAGGCAACCAGCTAGCAAGATCTTCCATGAGGGCGTCCCTAGCATCGCTCCTGAAATCAGTTCGATTCTCGAACACTCCACGCAACCGTCGGAGTGATAGTTCGTAAATGCGTAATGGACTTGGGATTGTTCAGCGTGTCGGAGTGGTGGTTCGTAAATGCGTAATGGACTTGGGATTGTTCAACGTTACTTTTGTTATTAAAACTGCATGTAATGTGGTGTTTCTGTGTTAGCGACTTGGTTGATTTGCTTTTGTTTGTTGGTTCCGCATGACATGGAAGTAGTAAGGTAATTAATATTGTTTTAGGATGCGCATAACATGGAAGTGGTAAGGTATTACTACTGTTTTAGGATGCGTTTTTAATCTAACATTAATGGAAAAATGTTGGTAAGGACTGTTTTTTCCGTGGGCTACTATTGTTGATAGCAGGGAAGTGTATTAGGGTCATAGCTTCGACGAATGTACACTTACTACGACAAGAAACAGCCAAAATCCAATCTACAACTTGACAATAATTCGAAGGGAATGCTTACTAATACAATAGAAGCATGCATCAAGTACACGCATCGAAATACCAACGAGCACTACACCTTCTAAAATACAACAACTACAAGAACAACACAAGTAATTTAAAAACCACATCCCCACCGGATAAGCAACAGTAGGCTGTTTAAAATGCTATTTTAAATTACACAATTACAATAAAAATAACAAAAACCATCATGATGTTTTTCAAATAGCGTCGCGACACCTTCAACTCGGAAACGATCTGCTCGTTCACCATCTTAATCTCCTTGAACTTATCAATTAAACACACGGAATAGTCGGCTTCAGTATCCGCGTGCATTTCATGATCTTGGTGGCTTATGTTGAGAGGTTCCAGCCAACGAAAAAAATCAAAAACCCCTATCCGACAGTTGCAGAATAATCTACCTTCGGTCTCTTTCGATGAAACAACCACACGTATTGCAGCAAGTACACCACATTTGCACTTTGGTCATTTATACCTCAACTCAAAACTCATTCTTTTTTTTTTTTTTCGCGTGAGAATTACTACTACCTGTAGACATCTGCAGATTGGAAATATCATTCAATTTCAGAGAACTATAAAATCTTCTGAATCAAGATAAATGCACACAGTTCACTACAAATTAAAAAACTTCAAAATTACAAACAGGACCGAAGACATTAGGACATATATATATATATAAAACATTCTTACTCGATTCAAAGAATAGCCATTTAAGATACTAATTTTGGCCACTACAAAGAAGATAACCATATTCGAAAAATTTCATCAAGGCAGAAACAACATTTACCATAACCGAAAACATATTCTGATACCAAAAAACACATGAAAAAAAAATTAAGGGAGAAACGAAGCCAATGAAGAAGGTGGAAACGAAAACATCATATCTATTTTGCAAACACCTACCTGGAAATCAGAAATCAGTAATTGACCAGCGTCAGTTCTGGGTTTGCTTCGGTTGTGTTAGATCGATTGATAGAGAATGGATGTACTTAATGGGATTGGAAGGGTAAATTAGGAAATTTGGGTAGTTTAAGAGAAGCAACATCAAGTCTATTCGCTTACTCCATACGTGTATTCCATCTTCCGTTAACTTTTTTTGTTTGGGGGGTTAGACGCAAAATTTTTGAAAACACAAGGGAGTACTAGGCTGTTTTTAAAACACATGAGAAAACGGACCGAATTTCCAAATTAGGGGATATAGACAGTTTTATCCAGCAAGTAATTTAAATGTGAGAAAGATAGATAAATGAACTAAAAACAATCTCTAACGGATGCTCTTAGGAACATTCGAAAGGGAGTGTTGACTTTGCTTAGAAAATATTCTACGACACCAATAAGTACAACCTCCTCTTCCTCCTCCTCTGAAGCTTCTTTGCTAATGCTACTGCCATCCATGGGTTCTCTCTGCTAACTCTGGCCTTCTTCGTACAACGACCACTGACTGCTTCAGCTCGTCGTGTTTCCGTCGCCTCCTTTCTACCAATCAATCTCACTGGAAGGAACGTTCGTTCTTATATCTCATAATGATGTAGACATCACATATACGAAGCACTCAATGGAACGTTCCACAGGGATGGTCAAAATGCTTATGAAGAACTCCAACGATCCTCACCTCGCATGGATGCTCCTCAAGCGTACTCTCGATTCTTCCGACACTAGTTCCATCTGCTGTTCCGCACCTCGAATCATTCCCATTCTCGTCCGCGCTGGAATGTTCTCCGAGATCAACGCACTCCGCGATCATCTCCTACGTCTACCCGTGCCGCAATATAAACTTCTGTATTCAATTGTGAGGGTTTTAGCCAGCGAAGGCCACATTCACAAGGCCATGTCCCATTTCCAATACTTTCGAGCCCAATCACCGCACACGCCCCCAATTTCACTGTACAATTTACTTATCAAAGCTTCGATCAAGGAAAATTGCACTGATTTCATGTCGTGGCTGTATAAAGACATGACAATTTCGAAGGTACGCCTGGAAACATATACTTTCAACCTATTGATTACTGCATTGTGCGATTGTGGTTTGTTGGAGTATGCACGAGAGGTGTTCGATAAAATGCGCGAGAAAGGATGTGAGTCGAATGAGTACAGCTTTGGAATTTTGATCCGTGGGTATTGTAGGCTAGGGTTTGGCTGTAAAGCTTTGGAGCTTCTTGATTTAATGAGGAGGACAGCCGTTACTCCTAATATGGTTATATACAACACACTGATTAGTTTTTTCTGTAAGAAAGGAGATAATGATGAAGCAGAGAGATTAGTGGAGATGATGAAAGATGATGATCTAACCCCAAATATTGTTACCTTTAACTCTAGAATTTCTGCTCTTTGTAAAACAGGGAAGATTTTGGAAGCCTCGAGGATATTTACAGATATGCAAGTGGATGAGGTATTGGGCTTGCCCAAGCCTAATTCGATCACATATAACTTGATGTTGGATGGGTTTTGTAGGGAGGGATTGTTGGAAGAAGCAGAGGCTCTGGTTCAGTCCATGAAAAGAGACCGGTTTTTCTCAACTTTGAATAGTTATAACACATGGTTACGGGGTATGGTAAGGAATGGGAAGCTTTTGAAGGCTGAAATGATCTTAGAAGAGATGGCAGATATTGGCGTGGAACCGAATATTTACTCGTACAATATTTTGATTGATGGGCTATGCAAACATGGCATGCTTGTGGATGCTAGGAGAATTGTTGCTTTGATGAAATCTTGTGGATGTTTTCCTGATGTGGCGACATATAGCACAATGCTGCAGGGATATTGTAGGAAAGGAAAGTCTGCGGAGGCCAATATAATTCTGAGTGAGATGATTAGGAGTGGATGTTTACCGAATAGTTACACGTGCAATATTCTGCTGTGTAGCTTGTGGAGAGAAGGTAAAACAGAAGAAGCGGAGAGATTATTGCAAAAGATGAATGGAGGCGAAGGATTGGATATGGTGAGCTGCAATACTGTTATTGATGGGTTATGTAGATCTGGAAAGGTCGATAAAGCTGTTGAAATCGTGGGTGAAATGTGGAATCATGGAAGTGCTGCTCTCGGGAACTTGGGTAACTCGTATATCGGTCTAGTGAATGAACACAGGAAAAAATGTTTGCCTGATCTGATTACGTATTCAACTGTCATTAATGGTTTATGCCGAGATGGTTTGCTGGAGGAAGCCAAAAGCATGTTTGTTGAGATGTTGCGGAGGAAGATATATCCTGATTCAACCATATACGACATTTTTGTGCACCACTTGTGCAAGAGGAACAAGATATCAGCTGCATTTCAGGTTCTTAAAGACATGGAGAAGAAGGGCTGCGACAAAACATTACGAACTTATAATTGCTTGATATCTGGACTAGGTCGTAACAATCAAATATTTGAAATGTTTGGCCTAATAGATGAGATGAAAGAAAGAGGGTTATCCCCTAATGTATACACTTACAACATCGTTCTGCACTCTTTATGTGAGGGAGATAAAAGTGACGAAGCAGCTTTTGTTTTAGATGAGATGCTGCAGAGGGGAATCACACCTAATATTACTTCCTTCAAGCTGCTAATCAAAACCTTTTGCAGGACAGGGGAGTTTAGACCCGCGCAGGATGTGTTTGAGACTGCTATCAGTATCTGCGGTCACAAGGAAATACTTTATAGTTTGATATTCAACGAGCTGACTGCTGGAGGGGAAATCTTGCTTGCAAAGCAGCTATTTGAAGCTGTATTGAGCAGAAATTTTGAACTGAGTAATTTTCATTACAAGGATCTTGTTAATGCGCTATGCAAAAATGGCGACTTAGAATCTGCGCATGAGATTCTAAGAAAAATGCTGCAGAGTGAATGCAAATTTGATCCTGCAGCTTTTATGCCCGTCATTGAGGAGTTAGATAAACAGGGAAACAAACATGAGGTTAATGAACTTACTGAAAGAATGCTGGAGATTGGTTCGGAAGTGAATGGGGAAGATAAGGTTCCTAGAAAAATGATGGGGTTAAGTCATGGTAAAAAGGGAAGTGATTGGCAAAGTGTTGTGCACAGGTATGATTCTCATAAATGTTCATATGTATTGTCAATTCTGCATATCAAGATATATATATATATATATATATGTATATGGTTCTTTGCTAGTGATGTATTATTGAATTTTATGTTTGTTTGAGCAGCATTTATTGTAATTTGATTGTTTAAACTGGCTCTAATATTTCTCTATGTATTTACAGAGATGATGGGAGTGGGATGGCCATGAAAACTATGAAGCGTGTGCAGAAAGGGTGGGGTTATGGAAACTTATCACTTTCCCATCTGAGCCAGAATTGAGATGCTGCTGCTTTTGGTGATCGATCTGATTCTGAGATGGTTGTTGTGCGGTAAGGCCAGATCAGTGACACTACAGATCACAGCACTGTGCCGACATGACAATAAGTTTAAATTGGAATTATGTCTGTGTTACAAGTCGAAACACCAGAGGCAGAGGCAGAGCAGGATATGGATATATGGTTTGGTTCAATATTTCTGATAAACCTTGTCCTGGTTGAGCTGCCATGCCTGTGCTTATAAAGAAAGAAATCCAGCTTTTCATTAGCAGAAGACATTAAGTGAAGGGCAATCCACACTGTCCTAACAATAGTGCAGTTGTTAACTGTAATTAGAGGTACATTCAATCCAATTGTTTATAGATATTAAGGTTATTTTAGTTATTGACGAAATACATTTGTTTTATATTTAATGTATTGTTGAAATGCGGGTAATACAAGGTGATATTTCATTCGATTGGGCACTGGTAATATGCTGGGCGAAGGCAGCACACAACCTTTCTAGTTTGGGTATCTGCTATTCGAGAAAGCTTATGTTACTTTCTAGCTGTGTGGAGTATGGGTGTATTGTTCCTTTCAAAGTGTTGGTTACTATGTTTGTGATACTTGACTTGGTTTACGTAGCGTTCACTATAACGTTGTATTTGCTCTTAGTTGATTCATGTGTTGATTGCTTCATTTGATCCTTTCAGATCTATGACATAGCATTTTTTTTGTTTTTTGTCATTTTGTATTACCAAATCGATGTTGAATAAAGTTAAACTGAGTTTAGGCGTTTCTCACTCAAATTCTACCTGCACTATTCGTATATTGATTTACATTTTTTAACATAGTATCAGAGCTCATAATAATACTAATCCTATCCCTCTGAGTCATTAAATACCTCACTAATTACGTATATTTTGACTAGCAACCAAAACATCTTTATATGGAGTAGAGCTTTGGCCTTCTCAACTCTAGTGAAAATAAGTTGGATTTTGTCGAAGGAAATATACGGTTCTAGTTAATCCTAATTTAGTTAAAAAATAGTATAGATGCAAGACATATGACAAAATTAATAGAATTGAAATGTATGGCATAATTCAAGAAATAACTAAACTTAACTAAGCTAGTGATAGTATAACTAAGTATTACTAGAAACTGAGGCTGCTCTGGCTCTGGATCAACTAAGTGCTATTAGGTCTTTAATCAGTGTATATGTGATGCTCCTGTTGAATATCCGAAGTATGAGAAAAATTTATAACTAATGCATTTTCTTATGGGTTTAAATAAAAGATTCTCTATCACTCATAGCAATATTCTTACAATATTTCTTTTACCATCTTTTTACGGAAGCTCAATATTGCATTACAAAGAAGATTCTCATAGGGATCCATGTAATAAATCTGAAAAATAGAAAAAAAAAAAAAAAAACTCCGCAGTTATGAATATTTTATACTTGCGATGCAATCAACACAAGTTTGTTATATTTTGTTTCCAAATGAAGACATATCTTTTAAAAGCATTTCTCACGGTCACTTTTCTTATTACCTTTATGATTACTTTTTCGGTTTTTACTATAATAACTAATTATCTTTCTCATTATCTTTTAAAAAGAGATACAATTATTCACTATTTATTACATTTCTCAAGAACTAGTTACCTTCAACAAATTTTTTTTAAAAAACTACTAACTAAAATTTTTATAAAATTATCAATTTTACAGAAATTATCTAATATATGTTAATTTATTCAAATAATTTCAATTTTTAAAATAGTAAATTATATGTTTCAATATATTAAAATTGTAGAGTTATTTTTGGTCAATGATTTGAGAGGCCGGTGATGCACAAACCCGACCCGCACAACCCGAAACTCATACCCGGTAATCGCGAACCATATCCGGTTCTTTGTGAAGCTACCGGTCTATTGCTGAACCGCTTCAATCCGAGCGAACCGGGTTTGGATCAGAGTCATATATGTATATATCCACTCTGTGACCAGGTTTGAGAGACAACTCTCACTCTCACACTCACTATTTCTCTCTCCCCGATGCGCTAGAAAGCCCTATCCCGCGACGGCGACTCCAATCGATCTTCCTTGGGTTTTTCCGGTGACCTGTCCGGCGAAGTGAAGGTTTTGGTTGAGTTCTTCGACATACAGTCTGTTCTGAGGCTGTTCCTCGGTTTGATTTACTGATTTGAGCATTCCTTACAGTGTATTGTGTATATTGTCTGTTTGGGAGAGAATATGCTTAGATCGTTGATGTTTTCCTTAGATTGTGGTGTGGTTCGCATGATTGTTGCGTTTCTGTGGATGTCGATTGTGTTTGGGTTGGTGTTGTGCATTACAGTTGGTGTTGGGATTGTTTTTCGATTGGGTAACCTGAGTCCGAGCAGTAGCTTTCGTAATATAAAAGATTCTTTTAAGTTCTTTGTTAGATTCGTATAGTGTTTCTTGCAAATTTAAGGCTTGTCCATCTTGAATGTGTAACAACCAAAATTTATATAGATTAAAATTCAAATATTTAATACTCTCTCTGTCCCATAAATATAGTCTTATATGGGTTGGACATAGGATTTAAGAAATATTGATATTATATTAATAGTTGGTAAAAAGTATGGATAAAAAACTTTTTTGCCCTTGTGAGTGTATTAGTGTAAAAAATAGTGGCAATTGTGTAATAAAAATGAAAAAGTAGGGGTAGTTTTATGGTGATATGGTTATTTATGAAAATAGGACAATTGTTTTGGGACGGACAAAAATGGTAAATAAGACTATTGTATTGGGACGGAGGAAGTATAATATAATATAAAAATATTATTAGACATAAAAATATATAGAAATATGTATAAATAAATAAACGGTCACAAATCCAACTCCCACACCACCGGGCCATCTCTTGCGGACGATGATGTTTAAACCTTTATTATAAAATAGAAACATGGCTGCTAATTTATGTTATAGGAGAGATAGTAGGCTTACAATATGAATGGATCAATTTCAGGTATGTTTAGGATGAATAGATTTCTCGCAATAGTTTGTTTGACCAGAAGAGTTTGAATCGAAAAATTAACTGAAAAAACACATTTACATTCAAATATATCACTGCAAGAATTTAATTTTTCTATTTACACATACATACTTTTTGTACAAAGCTACATGTCCTAAATAATGTCAAACCTACTTATTTAGATCATCATGTTAGCAAAGAAGTTAAACACTCCTAAGTGCATACACGTAAATGCAACTTAACAATCAATCATAAATACAAGATTGCAGTAGATATTTCATAAATGAACTAAGAAAATTCTTTACGGTTCAGTCGAAATCTATCGTCCACGTTGCTGTTGCTGTTGCTGTCACCGCCATAGTCGCAGTTGCAAAGAATTAGGGTACAGATTCAGTAGGAAAATTTTGATGGAATAAAAGTCCCTCGCAAATAGTTAGAATTATTAAATTTGATCACAAAATTGGTTTGTAGTTGCAAAGAATTACAAATATGACTCCTTTTTTGGTCCCTCGCAAATAGAGACATTGTTGTCTTTTTTCTTTTTTTTTTTTTTTTTTAAGTGAATAAAAACTTGGATTAAAACCTTGCGAGAAATAGAGTCCAAGTGAAATGAAGGAAGAAAGAAGTGAGATAAGAGGAGACGCGTGATTCATTAAATATATATGTTTTTTTTTTTTTTAATGACGTGGGAATCCGCAGTCGTTACCGAAAGTGCGCACTCGGTAAACCCTCGGTCAAACATAATACCCTGCAAACTAGGCTCAACAGGCAAGTCACACTAGGCGAACCATGTGTGGTAGGTGATCTGAGGCGTCGGGGGTTTGAACCCATAACATCACGGTCACACGTCCGATCTCTACACCACCAGACCATTCTTTACGAGACAAAAATATATATGTTATTGCATGGCACAAATGCAACACTTGTCAGCAGTAGAGAATGCATGACTTTAATTTGGATGGCATGCATTCATTTATTTCACCACCTTCTCGTTGCATTGCATGAAGCTAGCTAGCTAGCCAGCATTTATTCACGTCATTCCAAACTTCTCTTGGCCTCTTCTTGGTTTTTCTAATTACTATACACAACTATTATTTTATTTTATACATATCTGTATATGTTTGACATCCACTTCTTAAATTTCATCTTTAATTTTATATTCGACCCAGCAGCTACTTCTGGCACTGAAATATTAGACCATCTCCAATCCATCATCAGTGTTTTAATTCTAAATATACCGTTGCTACAATAATTTTATTCAATCGTAACTCCATTTTTTACTATTATTCTTCAAATATTTAATTTTTGCTATTATTTTAAACAACTTTTTATTTTTATATTTTAAAATAATTTTTTTAGAAAAATAAAAAATAAATTTTAAAATTTTAAAAAAGAAAAAAAGAAAAAAAAGGAAGCAAACGCCAAAAAATAGAGGACAATTTGGCGTCGATTGGAGACAACCAACGACAAATCTATCAATTCTGGGTTGGAGATAGAGCTCTTAAACAAACCGAGCCGTTATCGTGAACTCGGCTTGGTTCGGCTCAATTCGGGTTCAGTTAAAGCTCGTTCGTGAACATTAACGAGCCGATTCGAACAACATAAACAGACTCGTTTGATTAACGAACGAGCCCGAGTTTTGTTCGTAAACGTTCGCGAACGTTCATTTAGATAATATATTTATTATAAATATTATATAGACATATAAAGTTATAATTTATAAACAAATAAAATATTAATTTAAAATATATGAATAAAATAATTTTAAATTTTCTTTATAATTTATATATAAATTTAGAAAAATAAGATAAACGAGCTTGAACGAACTCGATCAAGTTTAATCGAGCTTAAATGAGCCGAACACGAACACAAGCTCAAACAACAAAAATTCTTAATGAGTCGAGCTCGAACACTACGAACAAGTTCGAAAACTTAACGAACGAATACGAGCCTTGTTCCCAAACATTAACGAACACTTAATATTTGGCTCGGCTTGGATTTTAAACGATTCTAGTTGGAGATGACCTTAATAGAACACTACAAGAAAAAATCATTTTTGTAACAAAACTTTTTTGTCTCTAAATCTACTTTTTCCGTTACTAATGACATTAGAGACGGAAATAAGAATGGAATTACGTTAGCTACGTGAACTTTAGGGACGGAATTCCGTTACAAATATATTATTTTTTTGTAGTGGAAGTACGCCTATTCTATTCCCAAGAATATTAGTACATATATCTATATATAATTTAATTTCTCAACTGCAATAATTAATGCAGCATTCAATCAGTAGCTAGCCATAGTTTCGATGATTCTTGGAAATAGCTCAACACACTACTAGTGCATCATCATCGCTTATACATATATATATATATATATATATGATCATTCGTCTGCTGCTGTGTTAGTTTGATGTATATATATAGAGGCTACATTGCATAAAACAATCATGTGTTTTGTGAAAATTTGTAATTTATTTATTGCAAAATCTACATATTATACTATCTGTTGGGACTTCCGTTTGCGGATATATGATTAATGATTGTGTTTTTCTAACGATTCAAATTTTTAGGTGAGACGGTCATTCAATGTCCGACATTTGCCTATAAGTAGCCACAAATATGTATCACACAATGACCTTGTATTGAATAAAAACAAAAATTTAAAATTTTATTATAACTTTTTTAGTAATAAAATGAAATGAAATAAATAAGGTTGACAACTGATTTCTTCAATTTTTTTATTTAAGAAATAATTAGATGAAATTCATGTTATGTTTTTTTAAGAATTACACATTTGTACAGATGAACTTATATTATAAAAAAAAAAAAAAAATATTAGGAAAATTTTTATATAACAGTCTATTCTTAAAATTATAAGAAAAATAAAATAGTTGATGTTGATATATTATTTCCCAAATCTTGTGATTCTTGTCTAAAAGATCAAAGTATATATTCATCTTCAAAAGTCATTTGCATTATAAGTTTGCGATTATTAATTACTGTCATTTTTTAACGAAAAAAATATTTTATAGAAACTTTATTCTAACACAAGAAAATTTCATTTAATAATATAATAAAAAAAAAGTATTATGTATATTTTTCATAAGATACAATGATGTGCAATATAATTCTACCCTATATATAATACTATTTCTGTCTGGACTAATTATGTCACAATATCTACGATTTAAATAAATAATACTCCATCCGTCCACTTAAGAAGTATACATTTACTTTTGGCGTAGAGTTTAAGAAATAATAGTATTTTAATTACAGTGAATAGTTAAAAGTAATGTAATGATATTTTTGCCCTTGATTTTTAGTATAAAAAGTAATGATATGATGTAAAGTAAGGGTATTTATAAAAAAAAATATGATATTTAATTAAATAATTACTTTGTAATTGGACGTTCCAAAATAGAAATATATATACTGTCGGAGGAAGTAATATTGTAATATAAAAGTACTATACATCAAAAGTAAAACAAGGTACTATAAGAAATTTATTAAAAAAGTTAATAATAAAATAATTAAATAAGTACAAGAATAATAAAAAAAAATTGATTGTTATTTATTAAAATTGAAATAATAAAAAATAAAATTGTTTACTATTCCCTTGTCTCCATAAAATTAGTCTTTTTTCTTTTTTTTTTTTTTTTTTGTAATTTTACAAAAAATTGAATTAAATTTGAGGAAGTATAATAAATTATGTATAAATTTATTGGAAAAAAAAAAAAGTAACATAATTATTGTATTGGGAAGTAAGCAACTAACGTAGGTCACCCGACACCGCCTCGATCTTCAATTTTCACGACTGTCTTGCATTTCATGCTGTCTCTTTGCATGTCCATAAATGCCTCTCTCTCTCTATCTCTCTCTCTCTCTCTCTCTCTAGATATATATATATATATATATTCACCAACATGCATTTCCTCACTTCACCTCACCTCACCTGTCCTGTCCTGTCCTCACTGTGTGATAGAGAGAATCTAGTTGAAGTTGAAGTGAGAAGACAAGTTGATATGGAAAAACTATTATACTATTACCAAATTGTATTGTTGATCTTAGGCTTACTATCCGCAACCTCGTCGGCGGTCAGGAACATTCCAAAGGAAGTACAAACCATAACCAAAGCCACTAAGCTCAATACTGCCGCCAATAATAATAATAATAATAATAATGTCATCATCCCTAACGCCCACGCCCCGGCCCCGGCTGCCCTTCTAGATGATCAGAAAAACTTCATCACCTACGGTGGCGTCGGCGGCTGGGCTGGCATTGGGGGCTTTTCCGGTGTCATTCCCGTGCTCGGCATCGGCGGCGGCATTGGCGGCGCAGGTGGCCTTGGAGGTCTTGGCGGGGCAGGCGGGCTTGGCGGCGTCGGCGGAGCAGGTGGGCTTGGAGGTCTTGGTGGCGCCGGTGGGCTTGGAGGGGCCGCCGGCGGCGTTGGCGGCGGAGGGGCTGGGGGCATTCTGCCATGAATATATGTAGTTAACTAGTTGTGAAGCTTTGATTAATTACTTGATGCAATTTTATGTGTTGTATTTTAGGGTTTGTGCGTTAACTGTTGTTGTTGTTATGCTTTTAATTTCTGGAATTACCTCATCTGTGCTTTCAGGTAGAGCTAGCTAGCCAGCCTATCTGTGCTGGATTTGGAAGTTCTCTTGTATTTGGTTGAACTCCTAATTAGGGCTGTCATTTAATTTTCTTGGTAATCAGTATTATGGAAGTCTCGTGTCATGTTAGTTTCCAAAGCCTGCAGATATTCATCTTCATTTTATGTAAATTTGTTATCATAGATAATGATGGAGATAAAAAGATAACCATCAAGGATACGAAAATTAAAATAAAGCTTGACATGACGTGCCATTTGGGGAGCGTAATTGTGTTTGTTTGAGGGTTTGGATTTTGAGTTGGGATTTGAATAGTAAAAATTTTAAATTTGAATAGTTGTATGATGTGATATAAATAGATGTTGATGTGATATTTTGAATGTAAAATTGATTTTTAGTATAATATAAAAAATAAAAAATAGATATTCGATTTGATGTTTTTGGAGAGAAAAAATGGGATAAGTAGTAGATTGGAAATCCAATCCCCAAACAAACACACCCTATTATCTAATCCACTATTCATGAACTCCATAAAATTACAACATACAAGACATAACTAGGGCCAACATTCACACCAACAGCTTCAGTACTCGTAACAATAAATTTGAAACAATATAAGTATTGTATTGTTACCTTGAGTTGAAAATTTTTCACTAAATGATAAGAAAAAACCTTCCTTTTTGGAGCATTTAGAGTAATCAAATCTTTAATTTGCACCATAGGCCGTGCCCAAACATTTGATAGTAAAAAAATCAAGATAAAGGGAAAAATGAAAAAAAATAATATGCAGAAAAGAGAAGTAAAAAATTATAAAAATTGTATTGATGAGATGCTCAATCTGAATTTACAATAACTACAATATACCTATTTATAGAATTTAAACGGTATATTGTGAATTGATACATCATTTCTATCTCATTAATGATGCAAACATTGAGTATAGAAAAAATAAAATAAAAATTAAATTAAATTATAAAGTAATATAATATCTTCTTTACTAATTTAATTAAATTTAAATTTAAAAATATTTAAATCGTCATTATTTAATTTTATAACAAACCCTAAATATTCTTAACGAAAACTGGATTATATACCGGCAATCTTTAGATACAGGGAACGGCCACGATACACGTACCTTCCGGCGGCTGCCATTTTTCTTCTTTTTATTATTATTATTTTCTTAATTTTAAAGTCGTCATTCAACAATCTACTTGATCATTAATTTGGGTTGTTTATCCAACAACTAACCAGAATCCTGGTCTAGGCACCTATTGATCGCAGTAGTACTTATTCTCTAGGAGCCCATCGACTCTATCTTCACTACAGGTGCCAGTTTCATGTCCTTTTTGTTGCGCATCAATCAACTAATTATTGGCTTTAAATATTCAAATTGGACATCCAACGGACAGATGATAGATAACATGATTTCAAAATCACAAGACATCTTGCTACAATCCAGATTGAATGTATTCGGAGAAATACAAATTGGTAGGACCTATCTACGGCATGAGAAAAACAGTCTCTGATACTATGTTAGAAATTTTGAGTGTCTTATTGATCATCAAAATAAAAGGTAGGCAATACAAAACAGATTCGATAGACTCAAATCTAAGCACTATAATATATGGATAAGATCAAATCTAAATATAAATCTATTAAATCTAAAACTGAATATCTAAAATATGTCAATGTCACAGAACCCGCGCGCTCTCTGACTTCCTCTCGGATCAGAGCGACCAGCAACTGGCCTCCGTTCTAGGCATCAGTCGTCTCTCTTACCTATTCGGGTGCTAGTTGATCCTTTTCTTGTTTCTGGCACCAACCGATTTCAACTTCTTATCCAGGCGCCAGTCAAATATCCGACCGTCGACCTCATCTTTAATCCAGGCACTGATATCCCTTCTGCTATGTCCATACGACATTTACCCCTCTTACCTAACCAGACACCAGTTGATTATTCATGTCTCTGGGTTTCCAGGTATAGTTTTTATTTTGTTAGACTCAAATTTGCTTCAAACAAAACAACAACCAAACATGTATAACACATAAACAAACTCACACGGCCAGGTAGTTTGTGTAATAATCAAACAACATATGTACTCCAAAAAAATAGTAAAATCGAAACACAAGACAATTGTTAATTCAGTTCGGCCCTTCAACTTGGCCTACGTCTTGGGGGTTCCAACGCAGGTCATATCACTAAAATTCATTCAAAAATTATACCAACATATTGCCCAAATAAATATCTATAATAGCCCAACTCCAAGACAACAAATACACAAGTGAATAATTATTACCTATGAGTTGTAAACTCTTCCTCAAGGATGTCTCTTTTAATTATTGGTAAAATTGTTCATAACTTCCATATGGTTTCGAAATTTAGCGTAAAATCTTCTTGTACTTTAAAAATTGTATGGCATCCCCTTATACTTTAAACAACGTTGCATGAAATTCCACCGTTATGAAACCTCTCTTGTGTGATGATTAATAATTTTCTATCTATATTTTTTGTATGATGGGGATTTTATGTAACATTTTTTAAAGTATAAGGGAGGTCATGCAATTTTAAAGTACAGTGGAGATTTAGGCTGAATTTCAAAATCACAAAGGAATTTCATGCAATATTTTTGAAAGTATAAAGGGATGTTATGCAATTTTTAAAGTAAATAAGGAATTTATGCTGAGTTTCGAAACCACGGGGAAATTATGGATAATTTTGGAATTATTATTTTTAGTTTTTGTGTCTGCGCAACAAGAATTAGCGTATTGAAAAATAGATTTATTTACTTTTGGCATTAGTTTGAATGTGATGACTATTTTTTGTATTTAATAATAAGAAAAGTAAAAAAAATAAAAATAAAAAGTGGTAAAAGTAGTTTTTCTTCTATCCCAGTGCAATATTTAATTTCGACTCAGAATTTTAGGTGAGTTAAATAGGATAATTTCAAAATTAGGTGATGCAATTTGGAGAGAGAAATATATATTTTATTTTTTATTTGAGTGATGTCATGATATAAAATGTGTAAATAGAAAATAAATATAATTAATTATTTTTTATTTTGAAAAATATCCCGGTTGTTTGAGATATATCAAAAGAAATAAAAATTGCACCATATTTGAGACCGAGAAAGTATTATTTTTTTCATAAATATAAAATAAGCCTGTTTTTTTATTGCAGACAAAAAAAAAAAAAAAAGTAATCATTATACTCCATCCATACAGGATGAATATACACCTTTGGAGTTTGGTAATATATTAAGAAATAATAGTATTTCAATGGTTAATGAAAATCTGTAAGAAGTTTTGACAATTTTGTCTTTTGACTTTATGTATAAAGTAAATGTATAATGATATATTTGTAATTTAAGTAAAAATTAAGGGTATTTTGATATTAGTATATGATTATTTTTATTAAAATAGAAATTGAATATTTTTTAATCGAACAAACGAAAATGATAAAAATGATTGACGCAGCCCAAGTAACTAAACTATACTAACCGAAACTTAAAACTAAATTCAAATAAAAAACTAAGTAAAAAAAAAGATATTACCGGTGTCCGATTCGTCAATCGATCGGATGTGAACCCAAGCGTTGCCTAGACCCAACATCTCTAAAGTAATGGAGACTCGAACGATTTGGCTAGAAACTCCGGTCAGTTTCGGAAGCCACGAACCCAAGGAATCAACCCAAGGACCCGATTTGAGAATGATACGCGTATGCAAGGGTAACCCTCGCTCACACACTAATTCCAATATAATGGAATAAAAAGAAACTTTAATTAATATAATTTTCAAGGTGTCTAACAAGTGAAGCCAAGTGCCTCATTTATAGGGGAGGCTAGCTTAGCAAAAGGACTCTACAACCAATGTGGGACAAAATTACATATTATTTATATCCCACTAATTAAGTAAATAAGATATGTCCAATTAATTAGATTAAAGGGGCCCACTTTATTAAATAATATAAAACACCTCTTATCCCACATGGGTAATGATGTGAGTAAAAACTCCATGGGTGTTATAAATTATGGTCTTCAAGGGTGGATGCACTTCAATGTTGACAACGCTCTTCCCATTGGCCTCCATGCTTCAACTTTGTGCATGTTTTCCTCTTCCAAGTGTAGAACTAATGCCATAATATTAGTGTGAAACTTCTTGGCACAGTTTCGAGTAATCGGACTTGGTGGAAGTGCATGTTCATCGTCTCTTTTGACGACCTCGTCATCCCCCCTTCTTGAAAAATTGAATCCCCCATTTTCATAGCATGTTTATCTCCTACATAAAAAGGACTTAAGTGAGCAACGTTGAATGTACTATGAACTTGGTACTCACCCGGTAGCTCAATACGATATGCATTGTCATTGATGCGTTCCACAACTTGGAATGGCCCGTCTCCTCTTGGGCTCAGCTTAGACTTCCGTTTCCCGGGAAATCTACTTTTTCTCAAGTGCAACCACACCCAATCGCCTGGATGGAACACTACATGCTTTCGACCTTTGTTAGCACTTTTAGCATACCGAGCATTTGATTTTGCAATGTTATCCCGAACCTTTGAATGCATCTCCTTCACAAATTCAGCCTGTTTCCTGTCATCACTATTAAAATACTCATTGCTAGGCAATGGTAACATATCCAAAGGTGTTAGAGGATTAAAGCCATAAACAACCTCAAAAGGAGACATGTGTGTCGAAGAATGCAACATACGATTATATGCAAATTCAGCGTGAGATAAACATTCTTCCCAACTTTTGCAATTTTTTTTTATCAAGACACGAAGTAGGTTCCCTAAGGTTCTATTCATTATTTCAGTTTGATCATCCGTTTGGGGATGATGAGATGTAGAAAATAGCAACTTAGTTCTTAATTTAGCCCAAAGTGTCTTCCAAAAGTAACTAAAAAACTTTGTATCCCTGTCCGACACAATTGTCTTAGGGACACCATGCAATTTCAAAACATTATGAAAGAATAGATCTGCAACATGAGATGCATCATTGGTTTTCTTACATGCAATGAAGTGTGCCATTTTTTAAAATCTATCAACCACGACAAAAATCGAATCATTTCCTCTCCTAGACCTAGGCAATCCCATAACAAAATCCATTGAAATATCAGTTCA